GCAAGACAAATTAGTTCTATCTAGAAGGTAGATTTTGAATCCATCCTCTGTTTTCCTCTCTGCAATCCACCTTGTTCAAATGTCTTTGCAATAGGCTCCTCATTATTTTCCTTGCTGCTTCTTGCTCCCCTATAAGTCTTTCTCCACACAGTGGCAAGCGTGGATTCCCAGTGTGAAAGCAACAACAACCAGTAGTGATAACAAAACAAATTTAAAAAACCCAGGAAATATATTCTTTCATTCCTACACCTTTCTGGGAAAATCCTACTCTTGGGTTCTGAAGTAGAGAAGCAGAAATGGTGAGGTCAGAAATGATAGAGCAAGAATGGACTCTTGAAGGTGAGAGAATGAAGCCAAAGAAAGAAGATCAAGATCCAGGTCTGGCCTAGTTTTGGGGGTAGTATTTAGAGAGAAGAGAGATTGGCGACTGTTGCTGTGCTATGCTGAGCAGAATTTGGATCAAGATTTTAAAAATCATGTTCACTGAGACTCATGCAAAGAAATTTCCCTTTGTACCTTTCATAGACTTCAGTGAATATTAGATTGCTCTTCATTTTTAGTTTGTTATCTGTGTTTTTTTCCTAAATGAGACGCTATGCTGATACAGGCAATGAGTGGACTCAGCTTTATTCAAAATACACCATTGCACTTAGAATAAATAAATAAATCTGAATCCCTTACCAGGGCCTAAAAGTCTCTACATTATCTAGCCTCTATTTACCTCTTAAATCTTATCTTTTAACTACTTTCCCCTTTGCTGATACTGGTCTTACTTGAGTTCCTTAAACACACAGAGCTTTTTCCTTTCTTAGTCTCTGTACAACTCTTTCCTGCTTAGAATGTTCTTTCCATGGATAGAACATGTTCTTTCTTGTATTTCAGGTGTTATCTTAAATGTTCCCTTTTCAGAAAGTCCTTTCCATCTAGTTTAACTATATCTCCATCATTGCCCTCTTTCATGGCTCTCTGTGGCTTACTTTATAGAACCTTGTGATCGGTAATTTATTCACGTATGGTTATATGTGTGTGCACACATGCCTGTTTTGTTCATTGTTTCCAGCAGATGTATGTTCAAGAGGACAAGGAACTTGTGGGTTTGTTCATTGCTGTAGAGCCAACATCTCTCACAGTACTCTGCACATAGAAGGCAGCCAATGAACATTCCTTGAAGAGCTTAACACTGAGAAGAAAATATAGATACTGCACAGATAATTGTGTTATAATCACTACAACAGGGAAGCATTTTTTCCCATGTCTCTAGGCCATTAGTATGTCCTATTGATGCATTGTTTTGAATCTTCAGTGACAAATAATGAAGTCATGTAAATGATGCTTTTATGCATTGCCATTAAATCTTAAAATCAGACCAAAAAGTTCTAAAGTATCCAAGTGAGCATTTTTTTTAGCATTCTCAAATGATTTCATATTTTCAAAGTTTTATTTACAAGTCATCACAAATATACTTTAGTACAAAGGGGGTTGAAATGGTAAATACCTGCTTCAGTTGACATGCCCAAAAGTAAGTGAGTAAGATAAGATGTCAAGACGAAAAAGGCATTTTCTGGAGCTATGGAGTTTTGGGTTTCTATAGGAAACATTACTAGAAGCAAAAGGTGAACTCGTGATTGAGCCAGGGACATTTTAACTCTTTGCTCTAATAATTTTCTGTGCTGAAATTAGTACTTTAGCTCAAAACAGCTAAAAGTCTCTTGCTTTCAACAAATAGGTCTCTAGTTTAGTAACATCAAAAGTGATTGATCAAACACCTAAGGCAAGAGAAACAAAGGAAAAAATGAACACATGGGACTACATCAAACTCAAAAGCTTCTGCATAGCGAAAGAAACAACCATCAAAATGGAAAAGGATCCCACTATATGGGAGATCATAATCACTAATGATGCATCAGATAAGGGATTAATTTTCCAAAATATATAGAGTGCTCATACAACTCAACAAAAGGAAGACAAAGAACCCAATTAAAAAATGAGCAGAGGACCTAAATAGACACCTCTCCAAAAAGGACATACAAATGGCCAAGAGACATGAAGAAATGCTCAACATCACTAATCATCAGAGAGATACAAATTGAAACAACTATGAGGTATCACCTCACACCTGTCAGAATGGCCACCATCAACAAATCATCAAACAACAAGTGTTGGCGAGGGTGTGGAGAAAAGGGGACTCTAGTACAGTGCTGGTGGGAATGCAGACTGGTGCAGCAACTATGGAAAACACTATGGTGTTACCTCAGAAAGTTAAAAATTGAACTTCCATTTGACCCAGTGATCTCACTTCTAGGAAATACCCTAAGAAACCTGAAACACCAATCAGAAAGAATATATGTGCCCCTATGTTCATAGGAGCACTATTTACAATAGCTAAGATCTGGAAACAACCCAAGTGTCCATCAGTGGATGAGTGGATTAAAAAGCTGTGGTACATGTACACAATGGAATACTATACAGCTATAAGAAAGAAAGATCTCTTATCCTTTGAGATGGCATGGAAGGACCTGGAGAGTACTATGCTAAGTGAAACAAGCCAAGCAAAGAAAGACAAATATCACATGATCTCACTTATTTGTGAAATATAATGAACTAAACAAACTGTGAACAAAATTAACCCAGAGACATAGAGGTGGGGTACAGACTGACAAGCCTCAGAGGAGGGGGGGTGGGGGGAGAGATAAACCACAGACCTTACATGCATGTGTGCATGATCAATGAACATAGACAACAAAGCTGGGGATGGGGCGGGGCAGGGGGAGGGGGAGGATGGTGCCAATGGGGGAAAAATGAGAAACATCTGTAACAAAAACAAATTAATTTTTAAAAAAAGTGATTGATCAGGAAATCTAAGACACTTAGGGCTGCTGAATCCCTACAGTTTAATTCAGTAAATATATATTGAGCTCCTACTTTGTGCAGGACAAAGTGCCAGATGCAATTTCCATGAAATCCTTATTTAAAAGCTTATCTTCTCTCTGGCCTGTATGGGTCAGCGGTTAGTGTGTTGGCCCGCGGACCAAAGAGTCACAGGTTTGATTCCAGTCAAGGGCATGTACCTCGGTTGTGGTTCATCCCCAGCCCTGGTTGGGGTCCTGCAGGAAGCAACCAATTGATGTGTCTCTCTCACATCGATGTTTCTCTCTCTCCCCTACTCTATCTGATGATAAATAGAAAAATATCCGTGGGTGAGGATTAAAAAAATAAAAAATAAAATAAAAGCTTAAATTCTCTTTTGCTTTAAGACCAACCTTAGCTCTCTGCATGGATCTTGCTGGCTGTTCCCTGTGTGTCCTGTCTAGTGAAAAGCTATTTTTGTTGTACTGATGTCAGGTCTATCCAGAGCACAAGCCAACAAGGCATTTTCCCAGACTTGGGGACTTTCTTTGTGGTGGGAGAGAGAGGAGGAATAGGCAGAGGAGTAGGAGAGATGTGGACCTCTGAATCACATGGAGACTCTGGAAGTATTAAGTAACTTCTACATACCACATTCTCATTTAACCTTTGGTTAATAATCACAACAATTGGATGAAAGAGATAGTATTGTTTAACTACATTTTACAGATAAGGAAACTGGCTAGTGACCTATAAAAAGTCACAGTAAGTGGTGGATCTGGGATCTGGATCTCTTCTCTAAGTCTTCAAAGACTTTCCACCACAATACACAGGGACCCAGTAGAATTTCAGATCCAGAGCCTATCATACTGTGCCTTCCATTCCCACATTTTTACAAGATGAAATCTGTCTAGAATGTACATTTAATAACGTAGTAAAGGGAAAAGAGGTCATGGACAAGCAATTTAGAGCCTGAGAAGTATGTGAGATAAGGTCCACCATTTGTTTTGTTTTGATGAGGAGCCCCTAAGGTTATTTTAGAACTAGTGTCACTGCTTGTCTTCCTGAGTTCTCACCCATAATACAAAGACCTGTTTCCTCCACTAGATAAAAATATGAATAGCTGATCCAATTCTGTCTCAAATAATGATTGTGAAGATCAAATAAGGCCCTTCGCAAACTAAGGCCCTTCACAAGCTTGTGAGGTAGCAGGCATCTTCCCAAGGGATCAGAGAACTGTGAAGTACCTGATTAAAATAAATTCTTGATTACTTGAGATACAGGAGGGTAGTAATAGCATTTGATAACTGGACTTCGTAGATACAATCTAAAAGTGCATTCTAATAAACTATTTTAATCTTTCTGAAACTTGCTCTTTGTAGAGTTAAAAAAAAAAATAGACACGAAGTGTAAAATGTTGGTAAGATTAATTAAATTTCTTCTCTTTTGAGCCCTGACCAAACGTTGATGGAATTAGGACAGAACAAAAAGATCAAGAAAAAAAGCCATGTACTCGGCCTCTGTCAGTGAATGTTGAGAGGAAGGGAAATGAGTTATGAAAGACTTTAGACATCTCTGGGGACGGCTCTGGTTAGCGACATTCTCTTTGGCACTATTCCAGAGTCTGAGCGCCCAGGGCTCCCCTAAGTGGAAGGGAGACGCGCGTGGCCAGGCGCGCGCGTACGCGTACTCACGTGTACCCACAGATGCGCGCGCGCGCGCACACACACTACACTTACACACGGCCTAGCTCCCCCGCTCCCCCTCCCCCTGGGGGGCGGGTCTCTCTCTCTTTAAAGAGCAGACGGTCTCCGCGCAAACCCAGGCTCTCTAAGGCCCCGGGGGTCCAAGGCCCAAGCTGCTTGCAGCCAATGGGCGCGGTGGAGCGGCTGGAGCGTGGCTGACGCTGCACCAATGGGCGTTCGTAGGGGGCGGGGACAGCGGAGGAAACACTATTGTTGATGAGGAGAAGCGGCGGCGGCGGCTGCACCACTTCGTTGCTGCCGTCCGCGGCTCGGGCGCCCTCCAACCCCCGCACCCCAGATTCCGGCTTCGTCACCCCGTCGCGGGGCCTTCTCTTCGGCCTCGAGAATCTTTTCCCTTCAATCCAACACCCCCCTCCCACCGTCTTGCCCAGTCACGGGGGAGGGTGGATCATGTCCCAGCGGATGAGGCGCAATGGGTCCCCCACGCCGGCCGGCTCCCTCGGGGGCGGTGCGGTCGCCACGGCCGGGGGAGCAGGGAGCCGCCTGCAGCCCATGAGGGCAACGGTTCCGTTCCAGCTGAAGCAGCAGCAGCAGCAGCAACATGGCAGCCCCACGCGGAGCAACGGCGGTGGCGGTGGCAACAACAACGGCGGCTGCTGTGGTGGCGCCTCAGGCCCCTCAGGCGGCGGGGGCCCGCGCACAGCCTCGCGCAGCACGAGCCCCACTCGCAGCGGAGGGTGTGCGGCCGCACGCACTAGCCCCACGGTGGCCACGCAGACGGGCGCGTCTGCGACCTCCACGCGAGGTACCAGCCCCACGCGCGGCGCCGCGCCCGGGGCTCGCGGGAGCCCACCACGGCCGCAGCCCCCGCCGCCGCTGCTGGGCACCGTGTCATCGCCTTGCTCATCGCCCACCCACCTGTGGACTGGCGAGGTGAGCGCGGCCCCACCCCCAGCCCGCGTCCGGCACCGGAGGAGGTCCCCGGAGCAGAGCCGATGCTCCCCGGAGAGAAGGAGCCCGAGCGCCCCCGTTTGCAAAGCAGGTACGTGCTGGGGGCCGTGCAGTGAGGGGAAAGCTTCGCCGGGACCGGGTCCCGGACGCGCGTTGCTACCGCGCGGGGACTGCAGCGCTGCCGCGGAGCCAGGGCGGCTGGGGGCGGGGCCCGAGTGTTGGCGGCCCCGCCTCCTCCGGGCCTGCCCCGCGCCCCCTCCGCAGCTCCCGGCCCGGGGCTCCCCGCCTGCCTCATTCATCCCTGAGCCAGTCCTCGCTTGTCCCGGACCGTGGACGTGCAGCCGGTAACCTTGTGCTTGTTCTGATTTGTGTTGATAATAAATCTGCGATTATGGCCGCCCGCTGGTTACTGCTTACCCTCCTTTGGCGGTGAAGCTAGGAGTAGTTTGTCACTTTGTTTTAGTGACATGGTTAATGTTAATATAGCACGTCTGCTGCTAAGTATTTCTGTCACAAAACAGTTCCAGATTTGGGGGACTGAATACGTCAGCATAGCAGATTTGGATGCCTGAAGAGACGTGAGACGGAGTGTGTTAACATTTCCTAAGGCTTGCTAAGCGGGCAGCAAGAAGTGAAGCAAATTAAGCAAGATTCTTTTGGAAGGTTTATGGGCTTTGTCTGAGGGTCTGAGTGTATTTCTGATATACTAATTTTGTGGTTAGGATGTAAAACCATTTGTTTTGTTTTTTTAAAGACAAAACTTAAGGTTTTTCTATTTATTATTTAAGGGATCTAAAAATTGTTTTTCTCTATACCTGACAGCTTTCCTGGGAAAGGTTTTGAATGGAGTTGTTGGGCTTTATTGGAGTCATTCATAAAGAGCAACTCAATAGAGAAATGCAGGTTTTGGAAATAAAAAGAAAGAAAATTTATCATCTGATTGCCTTCCTGTTAGAATCTAGTGAAGAAAGATATGGGTGGTTTTTAGCTTATTTGTTAATACTGCCAACATTAAATCTTTGTCTTTTCCTTGTCTGAGGAATATCTGTTAAAATCTTTCCCGCAGAATGGCTGGGAATTTCAGGAAACTTAGTACAGTACTTCCTAACCATATAAAACAGATGAAGTGATTTCAATCACTTCAGAAATGCAGGGAGTAGGATGAATCTTTCTCACTACTTATTTTATCAGAGATTTTAGACAATGGATACTTTTCTTGGAGAGAATTGCCCTGAAAAAATGATCAATAGTGTTTTCTCATTAGAGCAAGAGTCCTGATTTACAACTTTTGAAAATGCAAAATGCTTAAAAAATTTATTGTTAAAAGTACTAGGACCCCCCTTCCCTTCAAATAGTAGATATCACTTTACTGAGCTCCTACTGTATGGTGGGTGACTTACCTACAAGTTCTCATTTTAATTTTCACAGTAGGTTTTAGAAAGGTTAAGTATTAAGTGTTAGAGTTGGTATTTGAACTCTCCTTGGGTGGTACTCCAAAACTGTATTTTTTATATCATATCAAAGGGTTAGCTTTATGATGTATAAGATGAAACCTGGGAAATTATATAGCACACCACAATTGAAGGTACTTAGTTTTTGAAGTAACTCTTAGAGATATCTGGTGAACATTAATTGCTTCAGTTTACTTTCAGCCTTCTGGAGCTGGCATAGTGTGGCAGGTAGAAGGGAAGGAGAGCTGCTTAAGTGGGCAGTAGAGATGGAGGTAGGAGATAGTGACCGCATTCTGATAATACACTCTGGCTATCCTCTTAACTGACCTGGGAAGCAGAGCAGCAGTCTGGGGAGCTGGGTTAAATTAGGTATTGGCAATGTGTGGAGAAAGGTGCTCTTTTCTTTTGATCTCTAGAAGGGCTCCATTTCCAGGGATCTCATTCTCCCAATGTGCTCATTCTTCATGTTTCCCAAAGCTCCCTTCTCTCAGACCTGTTATTCCATAGAGTACTCATGCTGTAAAATTAACCCTTCTTATTACCCACCCTCCAAAAAAAAAACAAAAAACAACCCAGAAAAATCAAAAGTGCTTTTCTTCTAATGCAACACTCTTCAACGAGGTGTTAAAAGGGATACTGCTTGTTACTAAGTTATACTGAAGTGGGTATCTGATAGCTTCCTTTCCAGGAATATATTCTTGTTTCACTCTAGTGAACTTCCATGCAGAATGTGACAAACAATGTTCAGATTTCAATTCTTAATAGCACAAACTAGATTATTTGCTTTTCTTCTCTGACTAAAACTGGAAGGAGGGAAAAGGGGAATCTTTTATTTATTTTTAAAAATGTGTTTATTGATTTTAGAGAGAGGAAGGGACATAGAGAGAGAGAAACATTGTTTTGTTGTTCCACTTATTTATGCATTCATTGGTCGTTTCTTGTATGTGCCCTGATTGGAGATAGAACTAGAACATACAACCTTAGGGTATCGGGACTATGCTCTAACCAATTGAGCTAATCTAACTAATTGAAATAATCGCCTGGAGAGTCTTTTAGATTAAAGGGAGATTACTGCCAGTTTACAGCCTCAGTAGAAATCTTTACTGGTACACCTTACATAGTTTTGTAAACCTCATTCCACTCAAATTCCAGGGTCCATCTAGATCAGGCTGCCACTTTCTGGGTGTCTGTTAGATGAACTGGTTGCCACAACCTTTGTTAGGGATCTCATATCTGAAAGTCCGAGCCTGAGTTGAAGGTCCCAGGATCTTTATAGGGTTGTTCCTATTATGCTGGATTTCTGCCCAGTTACTTTATTTCTCCAGGGTTAAAGCTAATCATCGGCTCTTTCAGAACTCCTCTTTTCTTGACTACTATAAGGCAGCAGTGTGCTGCAAGGATTTTTAAAACACGCAATACCTGACTATTTAGTCAGGGGCCCTAACCTCTTTTCCTTTAGATTGTGAAATTTAAAAAAAATGACAACAGCCAACATAACAATAGCTGTCTGGTGTGAATGAATCCAAATTACAGCTTTTTTGGGGTCACATTGGCAAAAAGTATATGTATTGTGCCACAGAATTTTAGTAATTAGTTTATGTGCTATGAGATGCAAATGATTGAAAATTGCTGCTCTAAGGTAAACTGAGCACCCACCTCTGACAGATATTTTAATTTTAATTTTTTCAATTACATTCAGTATTATCCTGTATTAGTCTTAGATGTACAGCCAAGTGCTTTGAAAAACATGTACTGCTGCTTCAAGTACCCACTTGGCTCCACACATGGTTATCATGATATTATTGACTATATTTCCTATGCTATAACATACATATTTGTGACTGTTCTGTAACTACCAATTTATACTACTTCACCTTTATCAACCAGCTCTCCAACCTCTCTCCCCCTCACAACTGTCAGTCTGTTCTCTGTATCTATGAGTCTGTTTCTATTTTGTTCATTAGATTTCACATATAAATGAAATTATATGATATTTCTCTGTCTTACTTCACTTAGCATAATACCCTCTAGGTCCATCCATGCTGTCACAAAAGGTAAGATTTCATTCTTTTTTATGGCCATGTATTATTCCATTGTGTAAATGTACCACAGCATTTTTATCCATTCATCCATTGATGGGTACATGAGTTGCTTTCATAGCTTGGCTATGGTAAATAATGCTGCAGTGAACATAGGGGTGCATATATTATTCTGAATTAGTGTTTCAGGTTTATTTAATATATTCACAAAAGTGCAATCTCTGGGTCATAAGGCAATTCCATTTTTAATTATTTTTTTAATTCTCATTCAAGGACATTTTTATTGATTTTTAGAAAGAAGACAAAGGAGAGAGAGAGAGAGAGAAAATAACTTTGATCGGTTGCCTCGTGCATGTGTCCTGACTAAAAGATAACTGTGATATCACTTTCATCTCGTGGTAAGGGTTACATGAAAGAAAATTAAAAAATACTCAGCACTGTACTTCATCATAAAAGTTAGCTATTGTGTATCATATTAGTTTGCTTCTAATTTCAGTGAATATAACATAAATTGCCAATGTAGGCTTAGTTTTCATGGTTGTATGAAATTTCAAATTGGAGAGAACATTGCCTGTGAATATCTAGAACTGATTTTCAGAGTGTGGTCTGGTTCATCTTTGTCAGAATCACTTAGGGTCCTTGGTAAAATGTAGGTTCCCAGGCCCTGGTATAGACCTTGAAAGCCCCATCTCCACCCCACTCTGATTTTGCCATACTCTAAATTAAAAAAAAAAAAAAAGTTACTAGACGCACCCAAAGAAAATCTTTTGAAAACTCCTCATTAGAGAAAATGGCATTAATACAATATGTATAAAAATTAATTTTGCAGTGTCACTGACATGTAGATAGCAAGTTAAGTTTTTGCTAATTTTCCCATTACTTTGGTTGCATTATGTTGTGTATGAATTTGGTTGTTTATTTTGGGTGAGGGACATGGCAAGAGCAGCAACAAGAGATAGAGTTCTCTGGACTAATAATCAGGAGGAAGTAGGCTACCAGAACTTAACATTTGCAGCATTTTAGACTTGTACTTTATAGTACAGCTTAAAGAATTCAGTGTTTCTCTAACATTTAAACAACTGATAATTTCACACTTTAAAGGGAATCTGTTTGTTTTGTAAAGTCTGTATTTTATAGTTGAAGATGAGGTAAAGTAAAACCTTACTATTAGTTCAATAGCTTGGCTAGCAAAATTTCATTAAATTAAATTAAATTCTGTAAGCTTTGATTACTCTGTTAGTAACTGTAATGCAAAGATGCAAAAGAAACAGGGAACTCCAGAGACTCTGTAAGACTGGTACATAAGTATATGAAATGATAATATATAATATAATGGGCTCATAGATAAATGAATAATTCTATAGGGAATGGTTATAGAAGTTCTGTCAGAAGAGATGGCTTTTGATTTGGGTTGGAAAAAAAGGAACAGAACTTTACAATTGGTTCATAGAGGTGTGAAAAGATACATATATTAAATCCTGTATTCCTTAAAATGTAGACCATAGTCCGGCCAGTGTGGCTCAGATGTTGAGCGTTGACCCATTCACCAAGAGGTCGCCAGTTCGATTCCCAGTCAGGGCACATGCCCAGGTTGTGGGCCC